TTGACAACTATGAGAATTGGTGCAAGCAGATGAAAGTCCTATTAAGGTGTCAAGGCCTTTGGGACCTTGTAAAAGATGGAGTCGAAACGCTTGGAGAAAACGCTTCAGAAGAAGAAAAGAAGAAATACACAGAATCTGAGAAACAGAGTTATAAAGCATTGTTTATAATTCATCAATGTGTCAGCCCAGACAACTTCGAAAAGATTAGTGATTCAGAATCTGCAAAAGAAGCTTGGGAGATCCTGGAGAAATCTTTTGGAGGCGCTGAGAAGGTGAAAGAAGTGAGGTTACAAACTCACAAAAGGACCTATGAACTGCTTCAGATGGAAGACAGTGAAAACATATCTGATTTCTTCACTAGAGTTACAAAACTAGTGAACCAAATCAAGACATGTGGAGAAACATTAACAACAAGAGCTGTTGTTTCGAAAATCCTGAGATCCTTAGCTCCTAAGTTCGACCACATAGTGGTGGCGATCGAAGAGGGGAAAGACTTGTCAAAATTGACAAAGGAAGAGCTTCAAGGGACGCTCGAATCTCATGAACAAAGAATGAACGAAAGAGCTGCAGGAAAATCGAAGAGTGATGTAGCCTTGCAGGCACATTCAGCAAAAGAAACCAAAGGCAAAGGAAAGTATTTCGACAGAAGTAGAGGTGGCTACAACAAATCGAATGGTAGAGGAAACCAAATCGAAGGAGACGTGTCGAATCAAAGAAGACCACACCACGGCAACCAAAGAGGTGGTGCTGAAAATAGAGGAAGAGGTGGTGGTCGAAAACTTGATAAGAGTCACATTCAATGTTACAATTGTCAGAAGTATGGTCACTATTCGAGTGATTGTCCAGAAAAATGAAAGAATCAAGAAAGTGATGCAAAGCTGGCAAAACATGAAGAAGAAGAAGAGATGATGCTAATGGTCACAACAAGAGATGAAGACAGATTCAAGGACCAATGGTACTTGGATTCAGGATGTTCATCACATATGTCTGGAAGGAAAGACTGGTTCGTTAATATAAAACCCTCAACGAAGAATATGGTAAAATTTGCAAATGACAACACCCTAGCAGCTGAAGGTATTGGTGATGTTATGATCATGAGGAAAGATGGCAAGAAGTTAGTAATTTCGAATGTATTGTACATACCAGGCATGAAAAGCAATTTGCTCAGTATAGGGCAGTTGGTCGAAAAGAATTATAAAGTGTCAATCAAAGATAAGTTGATGAGAGTCGTTGATGCAAATGGGAGATTAATCTTGAAGGCTCCTATGTCTCAGAATCGAACCTTCAAGATTGAACTAAATGTGATGGAGCACAAGTGCCTTTCGACTGCAGATAGCAGAGATGAATGGATATGGCATTATAGACTAGGTCATCTCAACTTCAGAGACATCAGAGATTTGAAAAGAAGAAATATGGTTTCAGGATTGCCTGAAATTGACATTCCAAATGAAGTATGTGAAGTATGTGAAGAATGTGTGCAGGCGAAGCAACACAAGAATAGCTTCAGCAAGGATGCAGGAAGCAGATCGAAGGCTAGTCTCGAAATCATATACTCTGATGTATGTGGACCAATCCAGGTGGATTCGATGGGAGGTAACAAATACTTTGTTACATTCATAGATGATTTCAGTCGAAAGCTATGGACTTACCTGATCAAAAGGAAAAGTGAAGTGATCGAAGTATTCACCAGGTTTAAGTCTATGGTCGAAAGACAAAGTGGACGAAAACTCAAAGTTTTGAGAACTGATGGTGGAGGAGAATATGTGTCGAAAGACTTCGACAGATTATGTGAAAAAGAAGGGATTGTGCATGAGGTGGTGCCACCCTATACTCCACAGCAAAATGGAATTGCAGAAAGGAAAAATCGAACCATCATGAATATGGTGAGAAGTATGTTGAAAGGCAAGAATTTACCCAAAGAGTTCTGGGGTGAAGCTGTTTCGACTGCAACATACATTTTGAACAGAAGTCCTACAAAGAAGCTAGAAGGAACTACTCCAGAAGAATGTTGGTCTGGTGTGAAGCCTAGCTTAAGTCATCTGAAAGTATTTGGATCTATTGCACATAGACATGTGCCAGATCAGTTGAGAAAGAAACTTGATGACAAGTCAAGTCAAATGATCCTAGTTGGATATCATTCGACAGGAGGCTACAAGTTGTTCGATCCAGAGAACAAGAAGATTGTGATCAGCAGGGACGTGATCATATATGAGTTCAAAGAATGGGATTGGACTACAAATGTCAAGAAAGATTCAGTGGGAATCTTATTCGAAGAGCCAGAAACTCAAGTCGAAAGAGAAGTTCGACAAGAGGAGCCAGCAGATATACCCAGTACAAGCAGACCTCAAAGAACAAGACGCATGCCTGTAAGATTGCAAGATTGTGTGATTACATCAGATGATGTAATAGATAATGAAGGTGAGCTGGTACATAATGCTTTCTATGCAGATGTCGAACCTGTTAATGCAGCTGAAGCATTAAAGGATTCGAAGTGGGTGAAAGCAATGAACGAAGAGGTAAAGTCTATCGAAGACAACAACACTTGGTCACTTGTCGAATTGCCTCAAGGCAAGAAGGCAATTGATGTCAAGTGGGTATACAAAGTGAAGACTAATTCGAAAGGTGAAGTAACTCGACACAAAGCAAGACTTGTGGCGAAAGGATTTCTACAGAAAGAAGGAATAGACTTCGACGAAGTTTTTGCACCTGTTGCTAGGATCGAAACAATCAGGTTGGTTGTTGGTCTAGCAGAAATCAACAGTTGGCACATATGTCAGATGGACGTGAAGTGTGCATTCCTAAATGGACCCTTAGATGAAGAAGTTTATGTTAAACAACCAGTTGGGTTTGTGAAACATGACGAAGAAAGAAAGGTGTACAGGCTACATAAAGCCCTGTATGGTTTGAAACAAGCTCCAAGGGCTTGGAATAAGAAAATTGATAGTTTTCTAAGGGAGAAGGAATTTGAGAAGTGCATAACTGAACATGGAGTATATGTAAGAAGAAGCAAGAGTAAATTGCTTATACTATGTCTCTATGTAGATGATTTGTTGATAACAGGTAGCTGCAAAAGTGAGATCGAAGACTTCAAAGTTGATCTTAGCAAGGAATTCGAAATGTCTGATTTGGGTGAGATTTCATATTTCCTTGGTATCGAATTCTACAAGAGCAGTAGAGGTTTGATGATGCATCAAAGAAGATATGCAGGAGAAATTCTCAAGAGGTTTGAGATGGAAGAATGCAACTCAACTTCGACACCTGTAGAACCAAGACTGCAACTGTCGAAAGATGCAGATGAAGATGATGTTGATCCAACCCAATACAGAAGACTTATTGGATCATTGAGATACCTTTGTCATACAGGGCCTGACTTAGCATACAGTGTAGGTATGGTAATTAGATTCATGCAGAAGCCAAAGGTATCACATCTAGCAGCTGTGAAGAGGATACTAAGGTATCTTAAAGGAACTTTCGATTATGGCATTCTGTTTCCTGCAGTTGATAAAGGAAAAGAATGCAAGTTAGTGGGATACACTGATTCGAGTTGGTGTAGTGATGCCGAAGATCGAAAGTCAACAACAGGATATGTGTTTATGCTAGGTGGTGCAACAATTGCTTGGAGTTCGAGAAAAGAACCAGTAGTAGCATTATCATCATGCGAAGCAGAATACATGGCTGCTTCTCTTTGTGCATGCCAAGCAACCTGGATGGTGAACTTGGTCGAAGAGATAACAGGGAAAAATCATGGAGCAATTACCATGAAGATAGACAACATGTCAGCTATCAACCTGGCGAAGAACCCAATAGCACATGGTCGAAGTAAGCACATCGAAATGAGGTTCCATTATCTTCGAGAGCAGGTAGCAGATGGGAAGATGAATTTGGAACACTGCAGAACTGAGAATCAGATTGCAGACATCATGACAAAGGGAGTACAGGTCGAAGTATTCAGAAAGCTAAGGGCCATGATGAACATAGACAGTTTAGACACAATGAATTAGGTGGTGTGTTAAATTGTAATTCATAGGTGTCAAAATAAGATTTGATTTGTTTAGATTTAAATAGATTTGAATTTAAATCTAGATTAGATTTGATTTAGTAAAGAGATATTTTGGGCTTGGATTTAGCTTAGGGAGCAAGCTAACCTAAATCTATAAATAAGAGGGAGTAACCCTTATTTTGTATTCAAGTCATTGAAGTTATTCACAGTATTTTGCAGTTGCAAAGTGAATTAATAAAGATTCCACAGTTTGTGGGCAGAATAGAAATTCTGCAGAAATATCTTCATTGTTCTTTTATTTGTTTGTTTCATAACTTATCATCAAGTGGTGGTCGAAATTCATCATAGTGTATTGGTGGATTTCCAACAAAACCTTCTATACCATGTACATTAGATTCCCAAATTGCTCTCCACTAATAACCAAAAGATCAAATTGTCCTTCCATAGACTAATGAAGTTCCTAGCATATCCTTTGTATTCATCTTACTAAAAATACTCCTAACTTCTCATAGTTGTATCCAAAATTAATTAATAGCTACATCAACTAATACCAATATTAATTAAAGAAGTAATGTGATATGTTACGATAATACTCTTCCTTCGTAACATTGAAAATTGATGAAACAGTAGTAGGAGCCAGCTACTATTCCATATACGTAACCATTACTATTTTTATGCATGGCTTTCATGACAACCATTTCAAGCAATTGCATTAATATAACTAATAATGCATTCCCATTTTCAGCTACCTAAGTTCTTAATTCTTTTCTGCTACTTAATTACCATTTTCAGCCTCAAAGCAAGTGGTCCTTCTTTAATTTCATCGTTCATTTTTTTTGCTGGCTGTGCGCTCTTGTTTATCTGAATAGTGTAGTTGGAAAGTCTTCATTCTTCAAGTTTCAGCTTTTCAAGGGTTTTCAAACTTTCTTTCTTCCTTGCTTTAGTTTCTCTTTTTTTTTGTTTGTTTCATGGTTATATAACTTTTACTCATTTTTCTCAGATGAATCATGATCAGCAAGACAAACCATCCTTCTTTGCTCTCATCAAAGGAAATATCAACCAATTGGTAAGTCATTTTTACTTTTTCTTTTATACTTCTCTTCATAATCATCTCATGCATGCTACAATTTGTTATCTTTGCTAATAAGTATGAAAGGTGAGATTTTTATTAATAGACAAAATTTCTGATGTTAGTTTCTAGGGTTTAAATCTCACGCATTCATGCAGTCGGGAGATCTGGATAGTTCAGATCTGTTTATCCACCTCGATCTGTCCGCCATAGATCTCCGGACAGCATGAATAAGTGCAGTCAGGGATGGAAGGGAATCCCGTTAAATTTTTTTTTTTTGGTTGCGATAATCTGCAGAAAGTGCCACCAAAGATTGTTATGAATTTGGGTGAAGAGTTATGGAAAAATGAATCAATCATTCTGATAGGCTCTTCTGGTGAGAAGTGGCAAGTGAGTATTTTGAGGAAAGAAAATGACATGTATCTGCAAAACATTGGCTGGGAAAAGTTTTTGAAGGAGAATTCGATGATGAATGAAGAGTTCTTATTTTTCACATATAATGGAGAGAACAGGTTCCAGGTTGGAATTTTCAGTCGGAATGGATTAGAGAGGCCAAGCTTCAAGAAAGCAGAAGTTGCTGAAGAAGCTCCAACTGTGGTCAAGAGAAAGAGGGGTAGACCAAGCTTGAAGAAAGAAGAAAAAGTTTCCTTTGCCGCAGAAGCTCCAATTGTGGGCAAGAGAAAGAGAGGTAGACCAAGAAAAAATCCTGCTGCTGAGACAGCATGTGGCAAGAAAGAAAAAGAAAAAGAAAAAGAGGAAGCTAGAGCAACACTGGTGGCTAAGAAAGAAAAAGAAAAAGAAGCTCCAGAAACAATTGTGGCTAGGAGAAAGAATGATGAACCAAGAAAAAATCTTGCTGCTAAGAGAGTATGTGTCAAAAAAGAAAAAGAGGAAGCTGTAGAAACAATGGAGAGTAAGAAAAACAAGGGAAGACCAAGAAAAAGTGCTACTCCTTCTCCTCCTGTTGTTATTATAATAGACTGATAAGAAAATAATTATCTGATATAACTTATATGTATGCTCAGATTGAAATAGAAACTATATGTTTAACCATAATCCATATATATTGGAGTTAGTTATTAGGATTTATGTAGCTTTTATGATTGATAGTATTTTAATGGTTGCTTTGTATGTGAATGAAACTGCATTGGACATTAAAGTGGATATGGTACTAGGTTTTATAATTGTTTAGGGATGTTATTGGTGAAATTTAAATTTTGTTGAATGTTAAATATTGTAGATTGCTTGTCTCCTAAGGTTGTAAGTCTAGTGGATTTGGGGACTCTTATGTTCATTTTATGTATATATACCTTTTCTTCTCTTTTGAGGTTTGGTATTCCTTAATTTTTGTTTTTTTTACAAAAGAAAGTTTTCTTGTATTTTGATTCAGCCTCATTTGTGAGGCACTCTTGCAATATGAAGTACGACACCTTTAAGAGTAAAGTAAATGTGATCCGGTATCTAACACGCATCGGTGTCTGACATTTATATTACACTTTTATGATATGTGTCAGAAAAGTTAAATAAGTGTCGGAAAAATAAAATAAGTATTTTTCAATAAATAAATTTTTTCATTATTTCGACACTTTTTAAATCGATATCAGATACTCGTATGACACTTATATAACATAAATATTGAACAATTCAAACATGTTTTTCTTAAAAAAAACCATTTTTAATATATCTTAATAATATTATCAATGAAAAATTAAAGATATTAATTTTTATTAAAATATTTTTAACTCTTTTTAATAATTGATAGATAAATGAAGTTTAAATATTATTGTATATATATTGGTGTCAATGTCCTATACTTTTATATAATTGGTGTCAGAGTGTCTTTATCGTATCATATTGCAATGTTCGTGTCAGAGTTTATGCTTTATAGTCATGCACGAAGCGGGTGACCGAAGATGGATTTTTGGAGAGAAAAGCTAATGGCTGAGTGCATTTGGAGAGATTCATCAGATTGAAAAACATATTACAAATACATTAGTTAGTAAGAGTTTCTTAGAGGAAGGATCTAAACTTTTTCTTTTGTTTCTCTAATAAATTATGGGTTGAGTGAAAAGAATAAGGGATTGAAATTGTAGATTGTTCTCCAAAGAATAAGGGATTGAAATTATAGATCGTTCTTGGAGATGAATGAGAAGCTATTTTGTTGTAGCTTCTTTGTAACTCTTGTAACAAATTTTACATGGTGGATTAAAGAGTAGCTCACTCATTTTAGATCAATTTAAATTGAAATGGATAAAGAAATATCAATGTGTTTTATTCCTTTTTCTGGATCTTTAGTTATTGTGTATTTGAGTTGTACATGGGATTGTTATTATTTATTGAAGATGTTTACTATTTGGTTGTCACTGCTATTTGCTCGACACATTATTGTTCTTGTTAACTTGAACAAAGTGTTTCTTTCTTCTACTTACCTACCAATAAGTGGCGCGCCCATTGTGGTGTGTTATGGGTCAAATTTGTTAAGTAAGCACCATGAGTATTAAATGGGACATCGAGAAAAATTTGGAGACAATGATTTGGATAATGGAAAGTGAAGATACAAACAATTTTAATTTAACAAAAGTGTGTAGATGTATTGAAAGGTGGAGTACTGATGTCGGCAAGCTTTATGGAAGTCGAAAGAGAAAACACTAAAGAGGAAAAATGGGTGAAACTCGAATTATTGTATATAACTAAGTCATTTGGCTCATAGGTAATGTTAGAAGCAACAACTCTACTTATTTAGGATGGTAGATTCAAAATCCATTTTTAAAGAAATTGACATATTTTAACAAAATCACTAATGATTTGTAGAATACTAATGCGAAGCTTGATGATGGACATGACTTTACTCTTTTTGAATTTATTACCTGTGTCATTTCAAGGATTATTTATGGTATGGAAGAAACTATCACCTTGGAGGAGGTCCAATCGTCTGTTAGAACCAATGAGTTAGCCAATATGAAAAAGTTGAAGGTTGATTTTTCTCTATATAAAACTTATAAGTATTGAGGGTTTATGAGTCACCATTGTCGGAATACGTAAGGCAACCCGAGTTGTCCAGGGGTTAGAAAGTCCCAAAATTTACCAAGTTTGCTGGTGACACCTGTTACACCCCAATTTTCGTCCCTAAGATCCCTCGTCATCTCATATGATCAATACATCAAGATCACACATTAGGGTTCGTTCTCCCTTTCTATTCCACCCTATCTTTCAGTTTGCTCTTAAGGGATCACCAAGCACCTTGAATTGTGTATTTTGTACATCTTTTCTTAGACTAACATCAAAATATGTATATATGTCTCTTGGAATGTTCATATTGTAGGTGATGATACAATTGCATTCATCTCACCATCTAACCTAGGGTTTGAGGGGTGGTCCTCAGTAAAATAGTTCTTCAATGGATTGCAAGATCTCAATCCTCAAGGCTATGTCTATGATATCAAAGATTTATGGTTCAAAGGGTTCCCTCACTTTATTTAGGTCAAACTTTCCTAAAAGTTGGTGGTGGAATTCATCAAGAAGATTCATAGGTTTATGTGTTTATTTTCATGCCTTCTTCAACAAGTTTCATTGAGACTTTAACTCCATCTTTAGTATGCTTCAATACAACATCATCTTAAGGCCTATTGTGATCCATCATGCTTTATTTTTACAAGAAAGTTCAAAAGATTCAGGGTTGATTCAACAAATTTGATCTAATTGAGCAAATGCTTGATTCATTGATCACATGTGCATAACTCTCTCAATTTTCAAAATTTTGAGTTGGTTATTTTTTATATGAATTCTTATCATCATCTACAACAACATATCTTCACATGACAATATCCAATTGTGCAAGAAAAATCATCAAAAGTTGAAAGGGATTTCAAGTTATTTTGACACTCTCTGAGCTAGGGTTTATTAACTTCCAAGGACCATATCTTGCTCATTTTTTGAGATCTTTGATTGACTCAAAATCCATAATTCTCTTTAAAGAGTCCTTAACAAGCTCTCTTCAGGAATATAAGGCTAATTTTGAATGGAAGATCACTAATGGTTGAGAAAGATTATAAGTCTCTTTGAAAAGACTTGAAAATGCTTGGAAAATGGTTGAAGAATTGAAAAGATTATACGTATTTTGTGAATTTTTCCAAATTTGTTCATCATCTTCCAAAGACCATAACTCTATTAATTATTATGATTTTTGAGTGATCTCAATTCCACAACTCAATTCAAGAAGTCTACTTCATTTCATCTTCAAATATTAAGATCAAATTTTAAGTGGAAGGTCATGAAATTTTGAAGAAAATTATAGGTCATTTTGAGGTCCCATACTTAGAAATATTTCTAAGTGCAAAAATCAGTTTGTTTTTCACGATTTCAAGAGGACATAAGTTTTTTCTCCGATCTCCAAATAATGTCTTTCTTGGCACATTGTAAATATTGTAACCTTATCTTTCAAATGCTTCAAGAATCATTCCATAAAGGTCCCTGAGTAGTGAGCTGTGTATTGTTGAAGTTGGCTCCATAGAATCTGTTTTTGTCTTGAGTCAGAATTTTTACAATGAGTAAACTTGGACTACAGGTCGAATTACTCAAAGTTTAGTTGTTAAACATGTTTCAATAATTTCCCATATGCGTTTTGATAAGAATTTCACTTGGTATGAGGTCGTTTTGATGCATTTCAAATCACACGTTTGGCATGATCACAGCTGGCTTGATTTGCACGATTTGCTTATAATTTCTCTCATTCTTAATCATAATTCACTTCCCTATAATTAGAGGATGATATTTCATTCATTGAACAAGATTTAGAGATCCAGAAAACCTTTTTTTTAACTTCCTCCATACCTCTCAATTGTGTGATTTCGAATTTGGTTTTAAAGCATTATTCAATCCCATTTCTTGCTGATTCTTCATCCTTGAACTTCACTGAAGCTAACAGAAGAAGAATCAACCCTTGAAGTACCCTAAATCATGCTAGCCAAGTCAAGTTTCAGAGCTCTGAAGTTGAGCTTCAACAAGTAGATTACTCCATCAATTCTCTCCAAATTTGTCACTACAATGTAGCTCTCATCACTCTGATACTCATAGCATTGTTGGTTTTTAACTGGAAGTGAGTTTTTCTCATGAATTTTCAAATCCCTTTTCAATTGTTTTCTTCTGGTTTTTTCCAAATCGACTGAGCTGTGGTTTAAAGAAATTTTTCGCGAGGGTGAGGTTAGGATCATCTGGAAGAGAGGAATCCAATGATACCGATTTGAGCTTCAAACGATTATGTTTAAAGAATCTCATAAGAACCCAATGCGCTGAGGTATGGAGGTTGAAGACGACATATGTGTCGTTCTTCAACCAATGATTGTGTGACATTTGTTTTAATTTTATTGGTATGTCTTTTACTGGTTTTGTGCGCTTTTCAATAAGGTCCATAATATGATCAGTGCGCCAGGTCCCTCATATCTACTTACTAACGCGTTTGACATTAATCAGATGGTCCACATTATTTTGACTTTATTTTTATTTTCTGATTTTATATTTTAGTTATTTAAAACTTCAAAAATTCATTTCAACTTCTAAAATTCTGAAAAAATTCCCAAAAATACTTTTGATTTTTATATTTCTGATTTTTATTTTTCACAATTTTATTTTGTGATTTAATATTTTTTATGATTTTTCACTTTATTTGACTTATTTTAATTATTTAAAAACACTTTTCTTGATTTTTAAATTCTGAAAAAAATTAGGGAAGGATCCAATGGCCCCTTGATAAATATTGGTGACCTCATTTTATTTTTTATTTTTGATTTTACTATTTTTCAAAAATTTTAGTTTATTTTGCTTATTTCTTTAAATTTTAAAAATAGTATTTGAGTTTAAAAAATTCTAAAAAATTTTGCAACACTTGTTGACGCATGTTTAACCTCTGATATTATTTAGGATTTTTATTTGGTGTTTTAACACATTTTGTGTATTTTACCAATTATTTCCCTTTTGTTAAATATTTA